ACGAACACGGGAAGAACATGCAAACTCCATGCAGAAATGCCATCAGTAGAAAGTCTTTTTTATTATTTTAGTTAAATCAAATTTAGTTGATCACTTAATATTTGACATATTTTAATAAGTACAGGTGAGAATATGTATCTTGTGTCATCTTTACATAAACATATCTTTTACAATAAATGATCATGGGACCCATATTATGACATTTCATTTAACTAAAGTTCTTTGAAACCAGTGAATACGATTTAGCTACAATGACCACGAACGAAAAATGGAAATGAACAGATACAAAAATACAGATATTTACAGAGTACAGATATTTGTGTAAAAATGTCAGAAGTAAAAGTAAAAAGTGGAGTAAAGTACTGATACCAAAAAAATCTACTTAAGTACAGTAATGAAGTATTTGTACTTTGTTACTTTCCATCTCTGCTAATAAATAACTAAAGGGTGAATACACGATGACGGACAGGGGTGGTTTTAGTGATTTTGGGTCCCTAAGCAATTCCAGCCAAGTTCTAAAAGAAGTTATCGATTGTTATCTGTACAAATGATCTGATTGTTAATTTTCAATATAAGGAAATTTTGAGTTAAATTTATGTATTATAGTAACAAAAAATATAGTAGCCTATTTGTGACAATATGCTTTATTTCGTAGATTTAAGCTATAAATTAAAACAGTTTCGCGATTCAACTTGGTATCATGATACTTCAGCTGGTATATTATCGTGGCCTAAATTTATAGAATCGTGACAACCCTAGAAGACACCAAAATGGGACGCATGCTGCCTATTACTGTATAGTCTCTTTGACAGTTACATTAACCATTGCTACTTACTGTGCTGCTACTAAATAACACTTCACCATAAATGTGAAGTTGGTTTCTTTAATTTATTTTATTTTCAGTTTTTTTTAACCACATTCAACACATTATTATCTGACACAATCTTTTTATAGAGCAAGTGCAACTTTTCTACTTTTCTGAGAAAAAAACATTGCCTGACAAAAACAGGTTTCCGTTGTAATTACAAAACAGTTATGCCCTCCTCACCATGTGAACATAATAACTACCAAGATGATACTTGCAATAACTTAACAGCAATTGGTGATGAGGGTTTAATTAATGTTTGATATACACAGTTCAATCACTGTTGATCCACTTAAATAAATGAGTGTTTGTGAAAATAATTGAGCCTTTAAATAACTGCAATTCAGTATTAATAGATGATTTCACACTATGTGGTGTTTTCGTAGTGTTATGTGTCAAATGATCACTGTTAATATTCTCTTCAGTGTAGTTCCTTCCATTTTGATGAACTTATAAAACTTGTTATGGTGTATAAGTAACCCTGCATGTATAACCTTTTCAGTTTACTAGTTGATGCACAAGTTAGCTAAAGCTGTGGGTCACTGATGTCAGTGCATTTTAAAGTAATGCCTGTGTTCATTTAAAATGCAAGTGTACTGAACTTTGATCCACACATCTAAACATGAGAAGTTCTGAGGTTGAATAAAAATGTTTTATGAAGCACAGACTAACCTGCACTGTTTACCTAAATGGCATTTTTTTCTCCATTTGTTAACTTAAAAAGTCCCAAAGCTGGCTATTATAACACAGTTATGCAAGTGCATCTAGGTAGTACCATATAAAAGTAATGCTAAATCATGGTCATTTATACCCAGCCCACTATGGTATTCAAAGATACTGCTTTGATATGTGTCCATACCAATGCCACGACACATTTGGATATTTTTTAATGGGGTCTAGTGAATATTCATTTATTCATTTTCCTTTGGCTTTAGTCCCTTTATTAATCAGAGGTCGCCACAGTGTAATGAACAGCAGTCTTATCCAGCATATGTTTTACGCAGCAGATACCCTTCCAGCTGCAACCCAACACTGGAAAACACCCAAACTCCACACAGAAATGCCAGCTGACCCAGCCGGGGCTCGAACCAGCAACCATCTGGCTATGAGGCCATCATGCTACCCGCTGTGCCACCGTGATGCCCCAATATTCATTAATCTTTATCATCATAGATTACAATATCTTTTTACGTTCATAAAATCTAAATTTGTTAATAGGATCTCTGTTAATTCTGACAGACTTCGGACTAAATACATTTGAATTTAGCTTTAAATCAGTTCTTAAAGGCATTGTTCACCCAAAGAAGAAAATATATTGACTTTTTACTCACACTTGTGTGTATTGAAAACCTTTTAGAGTTCCTTTTTCTACCGAATCTAAAAGAATATATAATGAAGAAAAGAAGGCCGAAAACCTGTAACCATTGACTTACATGTTAGGTAAAACGAATACTATGAAAGTCAGCAGTTACAGGCTTTTAGATTTCTTCAAAATATCTACTTTTTTGTTCACCAGAAATATGTCAAATAGGTTTTAAATAAGTGAGAGGTGAGTAAATGATGACACAAATGTCAGTTTTGGGTGAACTTTAATATCTGCGATATATGAGCAAATTCATATAAATGTCAAACTTCCCATAAAAAAGTAAGTTTTCACCAAAACAGTGAAACCCTTTCTACATGTTTGCTTAGGCTTGTATTTTATAGTACTGTAAAGATACTCAGAAATATCTCAGTCAATGTTTTCAAACTATTATATTGGATTTACCTAAGTTACACAAGTGCCAATTTCATCTGTCACACTCACAACGGAGAGGTGTCACATCCCTAACACAGCTTTTCCCTTATGAACGCAAAAATGTCAAATAAAATAAAATCAATGATGTTTGTTCTATAGTGAGCAGACTCTTATCCTTTTTATTAGCATTATTTCCATTGGGTCGTTCATAAAAATTTCTGCAAACTGTTTTGTATACTGTAAACTCACAGACTTTTGGTCACATTCATATTGCATGCTTATTTTTCTCATTTAAAATATAAAAAATGTTTACAGATTGATATTCGTCTGATCCCATAACTCCGTGGTTAGTAGTTTTGGAAAATATAAACAGATGTTTCAATATAATGTTAGCATATACTCTCCCTGTAAATGTATGTATTGAGTTTTTACAGCAAATGTCACATCCATAACGCTGTATTAATTAATACCAGTGTTATTATTCAATAATAATGTTATAGTAAGTGTATGTGATCATTATAAGTACACATTATCACTCTGACTGACTTTAAAAGCTTTAGAAAAAACTTAATGACCAGACAGAGGCGTCAGAGGCTAGTCTATTTATTTCATAACACTGCGATAAGAATAAGCAGCTGAACATGGGCGAGGTTCACTTCCAGCCCTGGTGGATACACTGAGTTTTCTGGCTAGAAGGAAGTCATTTTCCAGCTGCTTTGGTTAAAAAGACCATATACATAGATATAGTCACAAATGGAGATGTGAACTGTGCCCTTTACACTTGGCGTTAGTCTTGAATTGTGCTATACTTGTATTGTTGACTGTGTTTTACCTCTTCCAGAGCGGCGACTGTATTCCTGCAGTGAGCCATGCGCGTGCAGAACACTGATGTTGTCGGTGCTTTATAGTCCTCATGGGTAATATCCACAAACTCAGTCACTGTCAGCTGATCAGGCATGATTATTCCTTTTAAATCTACACAATAGATCCAAAAAAGAAAGAAAGTTTGCTTAAAGTTGTAGCTTCGCGCTCAAAAACCAGACTTCAACTCAAGTCCATTTCAGTCATTCCTTAGAGATTAGTTCAGTTTTAAATTTCCGCGTGAAGTTAAAATGTAAACGGCCGATGAGGAGAGGATTTGCCTTTGAACACAAGCGTTAAACAACTCCATCACACGAGCAGCTGACAAGATCAACACTTCTGGATTCCGCCCGTCCTACCTGTACTGTACAAGTTCACTTTACATGGGATTTTGTAGGTGGAGTCAATTACCTGTCAATCACATACAGTTCGCCAATTAGAAAGGACCATACTGTCTTTCTGCCCAATCAAAGTAGAGGGAGGTTATAAACTGGCTGTGGAAACCTGTAAAGCAATTATAATGTATTATTAGAAGAAAAATAATATGGCACGCTGTTAACCTGATATAAATTATAAGATTTATTATTTAACAATTGCAATAGGCATTTTAGTAATCTGTTTTAGTTTTAGTAGTAATTTAATTTTGGAGCATATCGTTTTTTGACTGTCTCACAGTATAGATATGTATTTATACATATAAATAGCTGCTTTTATATTGTAATAAAATCACATTTTAGTATCTTAGGCAAATACTTCTGCCTATACATTGTCAGTTCTGATTAATAACTGATTGATTACATCTAGAATTATTGCAAACACAGAGTACTTGATTTTGATTTCCCCTAATTGATACTTAATTTACTTTTTCCTAGCTTTAATTATACAAAGAGTACAGGCTTATAAGTAATTATTAGTTTAGGACTTTTATCATTAGTTTCATAAACCTAAATGTGCATTTGCCTTCAAAGTATTGCAATATACATTTTAACTACATTCTTTACATTCATAATCTTATGAATTAATGTTTAAAAGCTTTTTAACATGATGAAGCTTAAACATGTAAAAATATATATAAATAAATAGTCAATTAAAAAGAAAATTAAGATTAAAAATAAATTTTAAATAATTTTAATTTTTATAATAATTTTTAATAATAAATTTCCTATAGATGAACAAACATATTCTTATAAAAAAGAAAGATAATACACTTTTATTGTGTATTTAGAAAAAATGTATATGTCCAGAAATGTGATTAATTATCCAAATTGTCTTACACAATTATTTTTTCAAAAGATATTAAAACAAATAAAAATGCAAATATGATCAAAATAATATATATTATAACAATATATATCTAAACAATATAATGTTAAAATGTAGTATTAAATTAAGCAGAAAGCTTTCTTCATCTAACCTTTATTCTATTTCTTCTTTTTCATGTTGAACTTTTATTTTGACTCGGAACTACACCGGAAGTACTTGTCCTGTGTCTACAGCGTGTGGTTTTCAGTTCACTTGATCGTTGTTTGGTATTATTGGAGGTATCGCTAAATATGCAAGAAGTATTACTTATTTAAGATTAAAACCATCACAAACATGGCTACCAAACGTAAAGCCGATGTACCAGTGCCTGCGGAAGAGAGTGATCAGCTCCTCATCAGACCGCTGTAAGTTCACTTCATTCACTGTCTTTAATAACAGTTCAGTTCCGCGCCAAATGTTTTCTCCACTTACTTTACTTTACATTTACAGTTTACATTATAATTCAAGACTTGTTGTACATTTTAGTTCGGAGTACTGTAACTATTAACGTAATGTTTGTAACAGAGGAGCTGGGCAGGAGGTTGGCAGGTCCTGTATCATCCTGGAGTTCAAAGGCCGCAAAATCATGGTAAGCATTGTTTTTGTTGTCTGCTCTAACGTTAGCCTTGATGTTTGAGCTTAAGTTTGTTTTATATTCGCACTTAAAGACTTTCTTCTTAATATTATAATTTCAGAAAAGTGTTATTTGCAAATTCCTTATAGTGAAATCATGTGATCAGTCAAGGACTATCAAAGTACAACATTGTTCACAGTCATTAAATATTGCAAATGTTGTTTTGAGGTCATACCTTCAAAGTAGCGTGGTTATCAATATAGGATCCTCGTCACAAGTTGTCACTGTTCAAAAATGAACGAATATGCGAATATAAAACCAGCTTTACTTCAATCTTATGATGGACTTGACAGACGTTTTCTTAAGTATTGTAATGTTTCTGCAGCTGGACTGTGGCATCCACCCTGGACTGGAGGGCATGGATGCATTGCCTTACATTGATTTAATAGACCCAGCTGAGATTGACCTGCTGCTCATCAGCCAGTAAGTGACATTTTTTCAGTCAAAGATAGCTATTCCAGGAGTTTCAGTTTGTTTGGAGAGAAAGCATAAAATATGTATACACAAATTAACAATAATCCTTTAAAAATAAGAAGCTTAAATATATTAGAATTAATCAAATGAGTAAGTAAATACACTACTTTAATGAGTTGAAATGATTTTGCAAATGAAATGTTGAACCCAGTTTCTGAAACCTCTCACTCAAAATGCAAAACTACACCTCAAATCTCCAAAACCAGAAGCTATTTCCCAGCCTTGAACTCAATTTTCAATTGTATAAAACATTTTTTTTTCCAAAACATCTAAAATGCAAAAATCTAACAGAAAGCCACTTGATATCAATTTCCAAACATAAGCAATTTTGTTGCGCGCGTTCTGAAGAGCGCGGGGGGGGGGGGGGGGGGGGGGGTTGGTTGTTGTTGCGCGCGTTCTGAAGAGCGGTGTTGTCGCGCGCCTACTGAAGGGCGGGACCGAGGGTGTGCCGCGTCGCGGGGGCACTTTTGATCATTTTGGAAGGGCACTTTCTATCCAAGACTAAAAAGGGCATGTGCACTGCACAGGTTGAGCCCTATGTGTGCACGTGCCTGAAGTCTAGTATAGGCCAAAGGTGATGGGACACTGGGCAGTTCTGGTCCAAAAAAAAAAAGGTTTTACACCCATCCATAATTTGTAGTGTTTTACCTACCTCTTTTTCTCATTTTCTAAATCATAGGTTCTAAACGAATAGAGGAATTATTTTTAGCCTAGCACTGTAAACTGTGAGATGACCAACTTTATGCCCACATGACGCTTTTTCAGACAGTGGACACTTCTCCCCCCCTGAAACGCCCTTAACACTCAATTGTGTTCTTTACTCTAGAGACCATACTTTTGCTTTACATATGTTCTATATTTTCCACAATTGTACAGAGTTTGTTTATGTTTTTATACTATAAACAACAATAATGTTTGGCCTAACAAATATTTTCTTTGTCTGCATGTGATTGGTGTTTACAGCGTACCTGTTACCCCTATTTTCACTGAAAAACATTGTATTGAAATGTTGATATATAAGCCTAAAGATCTTTAGATTTAGAACACCAGTGTTTACATGACATAGTAAAAAGTCTTGTCTTAAGAAAGAAGTGACGTAAACAATTTGAATGTAAATGCTTCATTCTGATATGTTCATGGCATTTTGAAAGAAGTGTTACATTATGAAGGAGATGTGAGGCAATCTGCATTTTTCTGTGTGCAGTTTTGGGAATTGTGTGTAGACTTTTGAATTAAGGTGATACTGTTTTGAAAACGTGTGTAAGCAGTTGGAGAAAACTGTAATAATATTATTTGTCTCTGTATTAAATGGCAATTTATACATGACACTAAATAGATTTCTTAGCTAAATTGTATGCAATTATTATAATAGATTATAACAGTAAATTTTTTATATTCTGTAATAACCTGATTTTTTCATTTGATATGAATTATTGTGATAGATAGATAGATAGATTGATTGATAGATAGATAGATTTAAATACAGATCAACTACAATTACTACATGGGTCAAACAGTTATGTATGAAAATTATTTATGTAATATGTTTTCTGTAAAGGTCTAATAGCATTTGTTGCATATATAAAATTAAAATACTGTAATTTTACTGTCATAACTGGCCAAAATAACAAATGTTTTCATAGCTTTCTTGAAAAAAAAACATTCATGTTTAAACCTGTTTTCATTAGTGTTAGTCCTCCAAATTTAGATTTCTTAACTGAATTTAAAACATTTGTGTTGTGTTGTCTACACATAAACGTGCCTAACATGTAAACTTTGCCTTTTATATTTTAGGATGAGGGATGATAGTTTCTGTTATGATCCAGTCAACATCTGTTAATCTGCTCTTTTGTTCTCTATCAGTTTTCACTTGGATCATTGTGGAGCTTTACCATGGTTTTTACAGAAGACAAGTTTCAAAGGGAGGACATTCATGACCCATGCCACCAAAGCCATCTACCGCTGGTTACTTTCAGACTATGTCAAAGTCAGGTACAATAAAGCTCTTGTTTCAATCTAACAGCAATTTGAAGCCTATAAAATGAATCAACTTTAGCATATTGTCTGGTTTCGTTGTGTCTGTAGCAATATTTCAGCTGACGACATGCTGTACACCGAGACTGATCTAGAAGAAAGCATGGACAAGATAGAAACCATCAACTTCCATGAAGTGAAAGAGGTGGCCGGCATCAAGTTTTGGTGTTATCATGCAGGGCATGTTTTGGGAGCAGCCATGTTCATGATTGAGATTGCAGGAGTGAAGGTACGTGTGGTTTATTCATTCTGACCTGTTCACTGTCACCTACACCTGATTTAAACTTCTGCATCGAGTGATCACTATTGTGAGCATTTATACTTCTTTATTATGTCTGTATTTCTTTGGCAATAATACTTTCCAAATGCCGTCAGGTTTTTTTGCTGGTGTTTTGGGTCTAGAGTGGATATGTGTGTGATGGTACTACAAAAGTAGCTCAAGTTCACACTCATTTAAAGATAGAGTTGGGGAAACTGGCGAATGTTCAACACCTGCAATTAGGGCTGCACAATATATAATTTTAGCATTGATATCATAGTATGTGCAACTGCAATAGTTAAATTGCAGGATCTGCAGTGACGAGTCAGTATTATGGTGTTATATTATGGTTAATATTTGGTGAACCAAGCTTTACAGTTCAGAATGCATATGATTTGTATAATCATAGAGTTCCCCTCCTTAACTGCCCTCCTCCCCCGTCTGCTGTTCACTTTCACTTTCTTTCGCGACTCCCCCACCCTCTTCACTTGCGTCCACGACAACTTCGGTAACATCGGTTAACCTCGCAATTCACAAATTAAGCACTGCTTGTGACTGCGTATTTTTTAAGTATTTACAAAAGTATATAGTATTTACTAGCCAGTTTGTAGCTTTAACAAAGATTAATTGTATTTATTAATTCATTTTTTTTAATATGATGAAGACTATAGTGTCATTTCACATGATTTTTCATGGACGAAAGTGAAGAGCAGGGGGGCCCTTAGAATCTGTATTCTGTAATATGTATCATAATAGGAATGTACGTTATTGAAAAAATGTAATATTGCAATATTTATTTTTTTCTGTGATTTATATATTGCTGTATGAATACAAATTCACTAGATTTGTTAAATAACTTTTTGGAAAAAATTTATAATTTTAGATTGATTGGGGTCATTCTGTAGGGGAAAGCGTATGCATAAAATATAAGAAACAATCAACAAGCATACAAAAATTAAATGAAAAAAATACCAACAACAATAATAAAAAATACCAATTAAAAATACAGCATTTTATTGTTTTCAGAGGAGTCGATCTGTATTCAGGTATATAGTAATTGAATAATCAAATGTTAAATAATACTGCATAGTCTTTGTTTTATAATCATTTCAATAAACTTAACCGTTATTAATTTATCAAAGTTACAAATTATACAATTTTCTATGAATGCATGCTTTTAAAACCCTCATAGTCACAGGCTTCAAAAAACACTTTCAAAAGGGTAAGTTATAATCCACACTCAATATTGCGTACACTCGTGACTATCACATTGTGATATTGATGCTGAAACAATATATTGTGCAGCCTTATACCGCAATATATATGGCAGAAAAACAAAATATCGTAATGTAATTCTTTTCCAGTACCGTACAGCCTTAAGTTCAATCATGAATTAAACACAAAACAAAATTTATTTGAAGCTCCTCTGTGGAACGTGACACTTGTTAAACACTCTGGCCATGCTCCTCTCCATGGCTCTCGGCCCCGCCCACACTTATCACTGATACCAAGTAAACCAATCACAAATCTTCGAGAAGTGTTGTTACATTTTTGGGTGTGCGCCAGGAATTTGGTGGAGAGTATGTGATGCTGTACCTATCATGTACACTTGAGGCAGAAATATAAATTAGCCTTTACACAAACTATACACTTTCTGAAAATAATCACTGTGTTTACTTTTTGTGATCTCTTATTATTTTCAGCTGCTGTACACCGGTGATTTCTCACGCCAAGAAGACCGACATCTCATGGCTGCTGAGATTCCCAGCGTCAAACCAGACATTCTCATTACTGTATGTACTGCAATGCTAAAAATATGATTACCCTTAAAAAATAAGAGTTTTTCTCCCTTGTTTACCCATTAGTGTCCCTCTCATCTGTTTTGTGCACATAGGAGTCCACATATGGTACACACATCCATGAGAAGCGAGAGGAGAGAGAGGCTCGTTTCTGTAACACAGTCCATGACATAGTGAACCGTGAGGGCCGCTGTCTCATCCCCGTGTTTGCTTTGGGCCGAGCCCAGGAGCTGCTTCTCATTCTAGGTAACGTCCAGCAGTTTACTCACAGCCACCTTATCAATAAGGCCTCATTAGAGTCATCTGATATTCTGCTTGTCCTCCACTTCAGATGAATACTGGCAGAATCATCCTGAGCTCCATGACATTCCTATTTACTATGCTTCGTCTCTGGCTAAGAAGTGCATGGCTGTGTATCAGACCTATGTGAATGCAATGAATGACAAGATCCGCAAGGCCATCAATATTAATAACCCTTTTGTCTTTAAGCATATCAGCAATCTCAAGGTGAGCATCTTTAAAGTCTGTAAAATAGACTTTCTGGAATTGAGGCAGACATGTTCAGTAATTTAAAAATGTTAATACTAATAATAGATTTAATATATTGTGGAGATTGCATGTTCTCCACTGTGTGGGTTTCTCCAAAATCTGAAAACATGCAACAGATTAGTATAAATGTGTGTGCACACGCGGGTGCACATGCTTTATTTTATTTATTTTAAACTGTAATAAAAAACTATCATTTTAATTAGTATGATTTTTGTAATTAAAATATTTCAGCTTATTATTTTAGTTAGTTAAGGTCAGGCAACATTTATGATGTATGCATAATTTGGGAAAAATGCTGTATGTAGGTTTTTGACTCTTTTAAAGCATAAAAAAAACATAATATGTTTGCAGATATTTAAGAAACATGTCAAGTGAACATTCTTGTTTATCTGAAAAAAACATCCTAAAGTCAGATATTCTGCTTTGAAAAAGTTTTTTCCGTGCTGGATCATCCGTCTTAACCCTTTTAAGGTTCCACATGAGGTTATTAATTTGCAAATAATATAAATATTACGAGCGTAAACATAGGGTGAGCAGTTTACATTGTAACCCCGTGTCCTAACAACACGCTATAGTGATAAGCAATTTAATAAGCAGGTTTGCACCAGACAATACACGACGGATTTAAATACAGCCATTCAGAATCACAGAACATGCACTCACTCACAAAATTGTAAGGTTTATAATGTATTTAATACATATACCTCTTTAACATCATTAAATGTACATACATGCTGAATCACTATGTGATGGTTCACAGTTCTCAAGTTCAATTTCAAACGGTTTATTTTATTTTCAAGATTTAAGGTGAACTATCTGCTGCTGCTTTCAGTAGTACGCCAATAAATGTCATGTAAAATGGCTTTTAAACTCACATTGTTGGCATTAAACACTTCATAAAGCACATGAGCTGTACCTGAGGTGATCACAGTTTATTCTGCTGTTCAGCAGCAAAATATAGAAGCCATTTCTAACATTTCTTTTTGAGGTGTTGGTTAGAACAAAAACTCCTTTTAATATGGAAAATATTTTAGAACATGGTTAAATCAGCCTTCAGGCTTGATCTTCAGACTCACTCCTCAATCTGGCAACCTGCACTTGCATTTGTTTTGATCCAGGAATGTAACGCCTAGTTCAACTACAGGGTGTCAAAACTTGCACACTGCACCTTTAATATTGTAATGTGTATGTTTACTTTTAAATTCATTTTTATTGTCAGAGTTCATTTTAGTTTTTAACTGTTAGAAATGTTACTGTTATTTATATTATTAGAATATTATTCTGAAAATTATTTTATTTGTATTTCTTTGTATTATATACTTCAATATGTGTTATGAGCAAAACACTTACATTTGTTTTATCAGTGCTAACAATAACAAGACCCATTCAGCAAAAAATGTAAGTTTCATAATTGTGTTTCAAAAACATATGTCTTCTCCTTCAGAGCATGGACCATTTCGATGACATCGGCCCAAGTGTAGTGATGGCATCTCCAGGTATGATGCAGAGTGGCCTCTCCAGAGAGCTGTTTGAGAGCTGGTGCACAGACAAGAGGAACGGCGTCATCATAGCGGGTTACTGTGTGGAAGGAACACTCGCAAAGGTGAATCAGCTCAATCTTCCACAAAACCTGTCCCCAGAGTTCAGCATTATCTTTTTGAGCATGACTGACCTGTTCTGACCTCACCCTGTTTTCCGTGCAGCATATCATGTCTGAGCCTGAGGAGATCACCACCATGTCTGGACAGAAGCTTCCGCTGAAGATGTCAGTGGATTACATCTCATTCTCTGCTCATACAGACTACCAGCAGACCAGCGAGTTCATCCGAGCTCTGAAACCTCCTCATGTGGTCAGTGATGATGATGATGATGATGATGATGATGTCCTGAGATGGTCATCAGGTTCTGGATCAGGTGTCATGTTGTTGTTGTTTTCAGATTTTGGTTCATGGAGAGCAGAATGAAATGGCTCGGTTGAAGGCTGCGCTGATCCGAGAGTATGAGGACAATGATGAGGTTCACATTGAGGTGCACAATCCTCGAAACACAGAGGCTGTCACACTCAACTTCAGAGGAGAGAAACTGGCCAAGGTGAGACTGCGCTGTTGCTTGTCCATGTCTACCTACCTAGGTTTATTGTCAGTGTTACATCCACATTTAGATACATTTAATATAGTGGTGCCTCACTCTGATTTTACCAAGGTTGAATGATTAGGTTCAGCTTGATAGGATGCTTTTAATTTTTCACTCCACCATGGTTAATTAGTTAACTACAAACTCCCCTGCCAGGTAAAATGGATAATCTAGTTCATCCACACAACCGCTAACATGTTTGGGTTTTTTCCATTTGGTTTAATAAGTCAGTGTTGGAGCCTGCTTTACACTACAAGTGAACAACTGACTCACTAAACTATTATGGCAGTGTTTGTTTGTTTGTTTCTGTTTTTTTTTTTTTACTTCTCATTCATATCAGTCTCTTAAAAGAATTGATTTTGAAATGCAGAAACAGGTTGTTGACATTTACATTTGAACTTCTGTAACTGATCTACATACATGTTTAACAATTCTGCATAATGCATCATTTATTTTGCTCTTTGCGGCTTGAGCAGATGCTTTAAACCAAACCGTTACACTATAAATGAATCATTTGCGACTTTAAAGGATGGGGTCATGTTCAATGTATATTATGAGAGAGATTTTTTGACCTTGGACAGATGTAACCTACTCTAGGAGACCTTTATTCACCTTCCAGATCCATATGAGGCACTTTTTTTTAAAAATATGGATGTGCTTTATTGAATTTTTGACTGCTGATAAAAAAAACAGCTGCCCTTTCCATTATAAAGCTGGAAAAGCCTAATATAATTTTTAAAATAACTTTGGATTCAACTTGCAGAAGAAAGTCATATGTTTCTAGGATGCTCTGAAGAGTGGTTACAGGGTGTCCGTGGGGTCTTAGGGTGCTTTCACCTAGACTTTTGTTTAGGAACCTGTCTAGTTTTCCCAGTTATTGCGGTTTGTTTGGCATATGTGAATCCAGCAATCACGCTCGGATCCGTGCCAATCAGTCCGAGATCGTCTGATTGAACTCTGGAGCGGATCGATTGTAGTGAGAAAGCGATACGATCCAAGTACAGCTATATCACAGTGTTTTATGGATATGTAATAGGCATATATGGAAGTTTCTGCTGTCTCCCGCAAATGCACAGACTCCTGGATGCCTGCAAACAAGTGATAGTCTCTTGGTAATCGTGCATCTCCCTCCTGGTCCTCAAATACGTTGCGCACCCTCCCCAAAATGAGGAGAGTTTACTCACGCATGACTTGTTTTTGCTCTTTTGGTCCGTTTAGAAACTTTGCAGCTTTGCAGTGTGAAAGCGAACCACACCAAGAACAAAGAGCAACAATGTAATCATTTTAATTCCTGTTTCGGAACAACTGAATGGATTCACAGGTGTGAAAGCACCCTTAAAATGTATTAATAGTTGATAAATCAATGTAGAGAAATTTAAGGCCCTTAAAAAGTCTTAAATGCTATTGTGCAGGGTATCAAATTTGATATCATTTTTGATTATGCAATGTATGGTTGTGTGCTAATGTTTGCCTGAATTAAATCTGCGAGTATCAGGATGCTGTGTAGTTTATGAAATTAATAAAATCCTGCTAGAATAACTCCATTATTTCTGCAGTTCTTTAGTCGCCAACCTGTTGAATTATTGTAGCTAGATTTAATAGATTTGAATTCAATACATGAATAATGGTTTAGTTTTGGATTAGTTTCTTACACTAATGTTTAGTAAATATACTGTAAGTTGAAATCCAAAATGGTTATGAGATCTTAAGATGTATATAAAGAGTTTTAAAAAGGTCTTAAAAGGTATTGAATTTCACTCTCTGATTCCTGTATTTATGGTATTATTTACATTTCTTGGGTGAACTAACATTTTAAAATTAGTCAGCTCGCTGAACCAGGAATTATTGCATCCGTCTAATTTGATCTTTTTTTTGTCTTGCAAGGTGATGGGCTCTCTTGCGGATAAGAAGTGTTCACAGGGTCAGAGAGTCTCCGGGATCCTGGTGAAAAAGAACTTCAGTTACCACATCCTCTCTCCTTCTGACCTCTCTAGTAAGCTGATGATTATGATTGTTTCGTTGTTCATATATGTGTGCAGGGCCTAAAACTAACATTCGCTGTAATTACAAAGTGCTTGTAATTCTAATAACCACACAACACCATTTCTGTATTCTCGGACATTGTATTTGAATTTGTAGGAAGTTACCAGTCAACTGGCCAGTAACATTGTTTCATACACTCACAAATGGTGTGTGTTTGCTTCTGTGCTGTTGTTTTTAAATATTGCAGATTACACTGATCTTGCCATGAGCACGGTGAAACAGACTCAAGCCATTCCCTTCACTGGCCCTTTTCCCTTGCTGTTGAGTCAGTTACGTCACCTGACAGGTGTGTATACCTCTGTGTGTGTTTTATATGTGGTGTTTGTTGTGTTGTGTTTACATGTCATGTTCACTATGTGTGTATTACAGGTGATGTAGAGGAGATTGAGATGTCAGAGAAGAGCACAGTGAAAGTCTTTAACAGCATCACAGTGATTCATGAGAACAACTTGGTGGTTTTGGAGGTGAGTACACTCACCTGTCATTAATACGCCAAACGTTACTATAGCAACTGAACTGACGTGCGTGTGTTTGTGTTTTCGTCCTCCAGTGGTTTGCCAATCCTCTGAATGACATGTACGCCGATGCCGTCACCACAGTGGTTCTGGAAGTGCAGTCAAACCCCAAAGCTCAGAAAGGTGCATTTTTACACCAGATTAAATGTGCAACTGAAATCGTTTATTCAATATGTCTGCTTATTTCCTCCTCTTATCTTTCATTATAGGCTATATTTCGGTCATATCTTTGTTTACTCTTTCTGTCCATTTTCATTATTCTTCCTTTCTCTATTGTTCTCTTTTTCTGTTTGTTTATTCATTCCCTCTGGTACTGATGTTAATTATTTTTTGCATTATTTTGATTCCCTTTTAGTTAATTTCTCTCTTGCTTCCTTTAGTTTTTCTTTTGTCCCTTCATTGTTGTCTTTTTCCATTTATTTTCCTTCCTTGCTTGCTTTTCTTTTTTTCCTTTCTCTTACTTCCTTTTTTGCATATCACTCCTTTTATTTCTTCCATTGTTTTTTCGTCAATCCTCTTCCCCACTTCCTTATTTGTCTACTAATGACATATTTTTGCATTTCTCCTTCATCGTATTTTCTTTCTCCCTTCCTTGCTTTTCTGTTTCCTTGTTTAGATTAGTTCAAACTTTATTGTCATTACACATGTACAAGTGCAAGGCAACGGAAATGCAGTTTAGGTCTAACCAGCAGTGCGATAGCAGCAAGTGCAGGATACAGGAATAAGTTATAAAGTGCAATTATAGAAAAACTATGGTCATATTTACTGATGGATGTACTATGAACATTATATACAGCAGGTTATATTATCTATGAACAGAGGTATGCAGATAGATATGAACATAATTACAAATGTACACTTTATTAGGTACACTTTACTAGTACCAAGTTGGGACCCCCTTTTGCCTTCAGAACTGACTTATTCCTTCATGGCACAGATACAACAAGGTACTGGAAATATTTCTCAGAGATTTTGGTCCATATTGACGTGATGGCATCACGCAGTTGCTGCAGATTTGCCGGCTGCACATCCATGATGCGAATCTCCTATTCTGCCACATCCCAAAATGCTCTATTGCAGGTATGTCAAACTCAATTCCTGGAGGGCCACAGTCCTGCACAGTTTAGTTCCAACCCTAATTAAATGCACCTGATCAAACTAATTGAGTCCTTCAGGCTTGTTTCAAACCTACAGGTAAGTGTGTTGGAGCAGGGTTGGAACTAAACTGTGCAGGGCTGCGGCCCTCCAGGAACTGAGTTTGACATCCCTGCTCTATTAGATTGGTATCTGGTGACTGTGGAGGCCATTTGAGTACAGTCAACTCATTGTCATGTTCAGTAAACCAGTCTGGGATGAATTAAGCTTTATGACATGGCATGTTATTCTGCTAGAAGTTGCCATCAGAAGATGGGTACACTGTGGTCATAAAGGGATTTGGACATGCAACATAGTCAGCAACAATGCACAGGTAGGCTGTGGCGTTGACACGATGCTCAATTGGTACTAAAGGGCCCAAAGTGTGCCAAGAAAATATCCCCCACACCATTACACCACCACCAATACCAGCATGAACCATTGATACAAGGCTGGATGGATCCATGCTTTCATGTTGTTAAAGGCAGATAGGGTAACTACCATCCTAATGCAGAGGAAATCGAGACTCAGACCAGCAACCAGATCAGCAACTTTTTTCCCAATCTTCTATTGTCCACTTTTGGTAAGCTTGTGCAAATTTTATCCTCAGTTTCTTGTTTCTAGCTGACAGAAGTGATACCTAGTGTGTTCTTCTGCTGCTGTAGCCCATCTGCCTAAAGGTTTGACGTGTTGTGCATTCAGAGATGCTCTTCTGCATGCCTCGGTTGTAATGAGTGGTTATTTGAGTTACTGTTGCCTTTCTATAAAGTTCGAACCAGTCTGGCCATTCTCCTCTGACCTCTGGCATCAACAAGACATTTGTGCCCACAGAACTGCTACTTTCAGGATATTTTCTCTTTTTCAGACCATTCTCTGTAAACTCTAGAGATGGTTGTGAGTGAAAATTCCAATAGATCAGCAGTTTCTGAAATACTCAGACCAGCCCCTCTGGCACCAACAACCATGCCACGTTTAAAGTCACTTAAATCAGCTTTCTTCCACATTCTGATGCTTGGTTTGAATGGCAGTAGATTGTTTTGACCATGTCTACATGCCTAAATGCATTGAGTTGCTGCCATGCGATTGCCTGATTAGAAATTTGCATTAACAGCAGATGGTCAGGTGTACCCAATAAAGTGGCCGGTGAGTGTATACAGTGTGTGTGTACAATTCAAGATAAATTAAGTGCACTGTAGTGCGATTAATGTGTGTAATTTTAATTGTGCAAATATTAAATAATAAAAAATAAATAATGCAGTGTTTATGGGGAGTGGCGTTATAAGGAGAGTGTGGGGTTGTGTGGGGGGCAAAAGAGTTAGTGGGAGGCAGAGTTCAAATAGGATACAGCTCTGGGGAAAACGCTGTTCTTCGATCTGCTGGTTTATGTCCGAAGAAAACCTTTTCATCCTCTCTTCTTATTTTCTATACTGTCTTATGTCCTGTTTACACCAATATTTCTGTTTTCCTTCTCTTTTTAGCTCTTCAGCCCCAAGAAAAGAAAGTGGATGTAAATGTTTTTCAGAATAGACTACTGAAAATGTTCCAGTAAGTTCAGCCTCACAGCACTCTGCTCACTGTCAACAATATTTATGATGCACTAAATTCTTTTTCTGCCACAATTCGCAGAGACATGTTTGGAGAGGAGTGTGTCGACTTTAAAGACAAGAACTGTCTCGCCGTGAATGTAGATGAGAAGACGGCCTTCATTGACCTGGAAACAAGAGTAAGCGTCAAACTATCAATTGTACATCTTGAGGTTTTACAAAAAGGGAAGTCTTGTAATTCTCATGTGTTTGTGTTCAGACGGTGGAGTATGAAGAGCCCAATCCTGAAGATGATTCTCTCAGAGAAATGCTGGAGCTCGCCGTACAGAGGCTGTATGAAGCCATAAACCCAGTGTTGTGAGATGACATCTGCCCTCTCTCAGGCTATTCACTTCCCACAAAAACTGTTGATATCAGAGTCCTTTAACTTAAACTATTAAGCCAGACTGAAGAAGACACCAGATACTGAACTGGACAAAGCACTTCAAATGAAAGTGTAATAAAAAAAGGAAAACAGTTTACGGTGTATGTTGATGCTTGTCTTTTTCCAGGTCTGTCAATTATACAATAGCCTAAACTGTGATTGTTTGGTATGTTGTTTTTTCTAAGTTGTTTTGTTTAAGTTGTAATTGGTTTAAAATCAGTGCATTTGCTTTAATAAATGAGGTCTTTGAAGTACGAATGTGCTCTATGCTTTTGATAATATCGTAACTGTTTTAATATCAAATAATACAGTTGGAATAATAATTCTCCTTGTGTGTGCTTTTTTATTTGTCAAGGGCTAGCGTTTCTGACCGAAATTTTAAGTATTAGGTTAGATGGCCATTATGCTGTCTGATACTGTGGGAACAAAGATTAAAAAAGAACTAATAAAAAAAAAACTACTAACTTATGTTAGCACTGACTGGACTGATCTAAACCAAACTCTTCAATAAACGCGCCAAAAACAAGAATTGAGTCTTACCGTCATGGTGTGATGAAAATGAAACTGCCAGCAACGTCGACTGTCCACACGTCACGATTTTATTTTTCCAAAGAAAACTCTTATAAATTGAGGCATGTCACAGACAAAGGCGTTTTTTCCTTCACGTTATTGTTAAAAAAACGTTTTTACCATGTAGGTTACCATGTTTTAGAAAAATTAGTACTATGCTGTGCTGTTTCAAACGCACCTGTCTTTAATTACGAAGCATTCCTTCAGATCCTCACGTTTACCATTTGAGCTGAAGTCTGCTGGAAAGAACCCGCCAATTTGAAGGAATCGTTTGCATGAATGATTCGGTAATTCACCACTGCAAAGCGTTACACTTTACACGGACCCACCATGATAGATCATTATCTAATTTCTATGCTAAACCAGCCAACAAACACCATGGAAAAAATATGAAAACAACCACTTATCATTTTTGTGTTACCCATGGGCTATGCAAAGGAGTAATTTCAATACACAACATTACTTTCAATAAGTCCCTGAGCTGTGAAGTAATTCGAGGTCGTTTTTCTTCCTTTTTTGTGTGTATGAGTGAAACCGCAGTTGCTCCAATAACAAATTGTGTATGTCCATGGATTGGATGTTTGGGTAATTGTGGTGAATCTCATATAAGGAGTTCTCATTAAAGCAGGAGGTCAACAAAAAGAAGAAATAGAAACGTATTTAGGAGAAACATTACTATTTCATGAAGAAAAGTCACAAATTTCAAAGTGAATTTAAGGCGATGTTTTATTTAAAAAGGAAAGTTGGCAAAATATACCAAACCAAAAACTATCAAATTATACAAACAACACACTGATACAAACACTGTCCTAATATTCAATACTTTTTCTCCTGCCATATCACATCTCTTTGGGAAATCCATGCAGTCGAGTATTACGGGCTTCTTAACATCAAAACATATTTCACAGGATTTGACACCGGAGAATACAAATTTAACATGGTTACAGGATTGGGACATCATGTGATCTATTACATAGAAATGACACTAGTAGGCCTAGGGCTGGTATTCTGCAAGATTAACACCAATACATTCGCAATAGTTACATTGATGAACAAGATTCACTGACTGTTTAACCACATATAAATGAAAGTTTATCACTTCTTTATGTTTCTTGGAAATATTACAAAACACGAAGTAAAAAAAACTCACGAGACAAAAAAACAAAACAAATACAAGGCACTTTTAAATCTGATCTCAGAGCTGTGTTCAGTACATTCTTATCGGAGCAGCTTCAAGATGTGTTTTCTTGAATACGGTCACAAACATTAAGTTGCTGTAAAGCATAACAGAAAAAACAGATTGTCTGTATTTTGACTAGTCACTATCTAAAAAAACGAATGAAATGGGTTACATTCAAGTAAAGCCCAAATTAAAGCAGAGAAATATCTGAAAATATTAAAAACACTTAAAAAAAATCTGATTGTCTTTTGCAAAATATCCACTATAAAAACACAAGATTGTTCTCATAATTTGCTGGTGAGTGTCCGAGAACAATTCTGTTAAATAACTAATTATAACACATATGTTCTATATTTAACAGGTCTCAAGATCTGTTAGCCTCTTCTCAATCCCTTTGACAAAAACAGGCCTGTAAACATTGCAATATTGGGTAGTTTTAGCTTTAAAAATGAAGCTGGTCCTGTGTAAATATGGCTGTGGAGATACAGTGTGTGGACTGAATGTGTGCTGTATATTGCGTAATTCTAACAGGATTAGCAACAATGAATTCCCATGTATTGCGAAGTCGCTGAATCATTTGTGCTTTCCGTTGCTTTATAAAGGTCCAGCGCTTTTAAACAGACAGTTCACCCAAAAATGGAAACATTTATTCACCCTAAAGTCTATTCATATGCAAGCTTTGTGAAGGAACAGACCAACATTGAAGTCATTTCACATTGATCACAAAAGCAAAATAAAACATTTCTTCAAGAATTGGTCAACATACAGTTAAGTCCATTAATATTTGGACATTGACACAATTTGGCTCTAGTCTATAGACTAACACAATGGATTTAAATGAAGAGAACAATATGTGTTTTAACTGCAGATTGTCAGCTTTAACTTCAGGGTATTTACATCCAAATCAGGTGAACGGTGTAGGAATTAGGCTGCCGTCACACTAGACTTTTCTCCCCATAGACTTCCATTCATACGCATGCAAATGCGGCAGACCGGAAACGCAAGCTCATGCGACAAGTTTTGCAGTTCGCTGCGTTGCAACGTTCAAGCTTTGTGAACTCTGACCTGCAAAATCGCCTCACGTAACTGTATGAGACCAATCAAAGATAAAAACATGAACTGTCTGGACAGAAATATAAAATATGGAGCAATCACTCACTTTTTAAAATGCCTAATCATCTTGTTTAATCCCGGCATTTTTCACAGCGCCGTACGAAAGAATTTTGCAAGCTCAAATTCTAGTGTGACTGCAGCATTAAAACAGTTTGAACTCTGGACATTTTCTTTGCTCATTGTAATTGGGATAATGAAGGAATAACACACACCTGGCCATGAAACAGCTTAGAAGCCAATTGTCCAAAAACTTTTGGACTCTTAACAAGTGGGAGGCACATACTGTAAGCAAACTGATGTAATTCCTACACTGTTCACTAAATTTGGATGTAAATAGCCTCATGTTAAAGCTGACAGTCACAGTCTGCAGTCAAAGCACTTCTTGTTTGTTTTATTTTAAATCCATTGTGTTAGTGTATAGAGTCAAGAATGTTAGAATTGTGTCGATGTCTAAATATTTATGGACCTAACTGTATTTGTATGGTCCTTTGCCTGATAAAAGAATTCAAGAAAAAATATAGGAGATTTGGTTCCATCCATCAGTTAACTGGATGGAGGTAGATCCAAAAGCAAGCAAGCATTACCAGCGGACTAAACAATTAAAGAAATATGGCTAATTCCAGTAGAGAAAACACTGTTGTTTTACTGGCAAGATTAGTTATAACCTTTTGAATAAACATTACAAAGTTAACCCCTTAGCATTCCTGTATATAAAATGGGCAGTAAACTGAAATGCTAACAGGTTAAAATGAAGAAATCCGGAAAATAGATTTAATTTAGATTTAGCCTGTTCTTCACAAAGTCCCATCATAAGACTTGGAGGACTTGACTTATTGTCAACTCAAAACTGTCAAATGAATCAGTTTTAGGATACTTCAGTTGTGCTTTTGTGTGCTTGTAAGCTCCCTTATAGAGATTACTCAACAAAGAAGGATATTGATATAGAATGACGAGGCAGTGAATAAATTAAGTTTCTATTTTTTTGTGAATTACCCAATGTAATCATACTGCATTCTGGTTATTTTCAACACTGGAGCTGTAAACGTACACTTTAATGTGTAATGCTTGTTCTGCTCAGCTTTGAACATTCCCGATCATATTCCCTTTATCATTTTGTTCACATTCCTTATTAATGGTATTCCTTTTTATGAAATCACTCTCTAAAGCCCATGGTATGCTCTGTTTTTGTGCATATGTTGGGGTGTGAGGGCAGTGCACATGAAGCAAATATGGAGTTCTCTTCTGACACATGTGCTTTGAATTATTTACGCACTTCTTCGTTTGACCACAAGGTGTCAACACAAAACCAGACCTTCGTTTCAGTCTTAAACAACAACAACAACATACAAACAAAAACAACAAAACTACTGAAAACACCAAAAACAACAGACGCCTGTGTCGGCAAGTGCATGTGTAAGGGGATTAAAAAATATCAATGTTTTTTTAAAGGATTATTCCACTTTCAGAATAGATAGTTGAATAGTATATAATTTGTTCACTCCCTTGTCATCCAAAATGATTAAGCCTTTGTTTCTTCAGTCATAAAGAAATAGTTTTATAGGTAAACTTTCCAGGAATTGTTTTCATTAAGTGGTCTTGTATGGTATGAACTGCAGTTTCACTGCGGCTATAAAGTGCTTTACATAATCTCAGACAAGGAATAAGTTTCTTATCTAACAATACAATCCATCATTTTCTTAAAAGAATGAAATTTTGTAATGTAACATACTATTTTAACCACAAAAGCTTGTCTTGGACTAGTTCTGGGATGCAAACTTTTGTGGATTGAAGACAAATGCTGGAATGTTTTCCTCAAAATCCTTTTTTTTTCATCTGAAGAAAGAAAGAAATCTTGGATGACAAGAGGCTGGAAGTTTTTATTTTAGAAGTGAACTAGTCCTTTAATCATGTCCAAAGACTAATTTGGCTCAACTTTTAAAGGGTAAAATGAACAGATATTGGACAAATATGAATCTTTATAGTGTGCATGGGCCAAAACAGAGTTTATTTATATGCCGCTGGCTGCGTCCGAAATCATATACTTCCTTACAATATAGTATATTTAAAACAGCAAGTGAGCTGAGTATTATGTCCGAATTCATAAACTGTAAAACTCAACAGTCAACTTTATCAAATTAAATGAGTGTAGTTAACTCAAAATTGACTAAAAGTTAACTCTACTCATTTGAAAAGAGTTTTGAACTCAGTGTTGAAGGTAATGAGTTCATTAATTACCTCATTACTTCAACTTAAATGGAGTAAGTTCACAGCACTCATATAGGTTAGTTTTCTTAACTCAAATGGTTTGTTGCAATTGGTTTCCTCCAACGGTTTAAGTTGACTTAACTTATTGGGTTTTACAGTACTCAGTTGGTTTGAGTTCTCTTC